CCAGCCTTGCCCAACGCGTGACTCAAAGGGGAAGCCGGTTCCTCTGTTGTTCCCCACTTGTACCCATCGTGGGAGCAGAGAAAGCCAGGGTCCCACGCAGCACCGCTGCTGGCCCCCCACCCTGGGGGTGCATGGGAGCTGGGGGCACTGGCCAGGGCTCCTCGCGGAGGGGGTATGTGGCCAGTGTGGGGATGTGCAGGGACTCGGCTTGCAACGCGTGACTCAAAGGGGAAGCCGGTTCCTCTGTTGTTCCCCACTTGTACCCATCGTGGGAGCAGAGAAAGCCAGGGTCCCACGCAGCACCGCTGCTGGCCCCCCACCCTGGGGGTGCATGGGAGCTGGGGGCACTGGCCAGGGCTCCTCGCGGAGGGGGTATGTGGCCAGTGTGGGGATGTGCAGGGACTCGGCTTGGCCAGGGTCCCAAGGGGCTTCAGCTGTGCACAGTCCAAGGCGATGGACAAGCAGGTGACATGGTGAGTTGGTCCTGGGACAGGGGGCCTGCACCGGGGAGACAGTTCTATCTGCTTGCACTGGGGAGCAGCGGCTGTTGCCACTTTGGGAAGGGCTCTGGGGACCCTGCATGAGGGCACACAAACCTCAGTGGGGGGTCAGGGTGGCCAGGGCATGGCAGCAGCCCCCAGGGCCGTAGTGTGACGGGAAGGTCAGAACAGTCAGAGCGAGAGCAGAACTGTGCAATCCCCTCCAAAAAGCCCCAGCCGCAGAGGAGGAGCCGCCTGCGCTCCCAAACCCACCACCGGCGGGACTGTCCCTCTGGCTGGACGATGCCATGGGCTATGGCTGCCAGGGGTCCAGCTCCCCACCTGGATCCAGCCCGGGCACAGCACCCGGGACCCAGGGCCCCATCCCAGCACCCAGGGGGGATGCAGGGCCCACAGCTGACCTCATGAGAGGGACCACAGCCCCCTGTAATGCACCTTATAGGTCCCTCGAGAGCAGTTGCCCACTTACCTGGGACCCCCCCAGTGCCACCAACCATGGCTGCAGTGATGGCCATGGCCCCCAGCAGTGACCCAAAGGCCAGAGCCACCCCTGGTTCCCAGTCCTGTGCCCACCACAGCCCCTCCATCCCCAGGTGCCCCCACCCTGCACCAAGGCGGCTGTGGGGCCCCAAGCTGCAGGGGCTGTGGGTCCTGCCATGGGTCTGAGCTCTGCCATGTCCCCAGGGCTGTGCGTGACAATGAGCAGCAGGGAACAGCTCTGACGCTGATGTCCATCCTGGGGTGGCTGGGCTGGTCGGACCAGAATGTCACTCAGTTCCCCGGTCCCTAATCCCTTCTGGGATGAATCAGGTCCCATCAAAACAGAGAGGGACCGGTCAGGGCACAGGTGGCCACAGGGCTGGGCCCTCCCTGGGGCTCTCCGGCACATCCTGGTGCAGTTGCATCCGGCATCCTGGCACGTGGCAGGTGGCTCAGCCCTGTTCAGAGCCTGGGCCAGCTCTGCGCAGCCCCTTCCCGTGCTCTCTGGCTGTCCCAGCGGTGCCAGGCTCCTGGTTGTGACAGCCCTGGAGCAGTGCCATGCTTTACCCCTGTGCCCTGAGGCAGGGATGATGGCCGGGGCTGCATCACGAGGGCTCAGCCCTGGGGCACACGGGGCTTGGGCAGGGGGTCTGTGCAGAGACACGAGGACACACATCAGCACTCACAGAAGCCCCTCTCCCCACAGCTCCAGCCAGAGCTTCCACATTTGCCAGCGGCAAACAGGCAAGGACAGCACCAGGGAGCACGGCAGGGATGCAGCTGCTGTGCCATGGCGTGGGGAAGAGCCCCAGCACACACCCCCCACCGCTCCCAACCCAGGCAGACCCCCCAGGCCCCAGCTCTCCCTGGGCTGGGACCCTCCGGGACTCCTCCGGGAAGGCGGCCCGGGCTGGGCCGTGCAGTGCGAGCAGGCACCGGGAGAGGGACCCACTGCCCCAGTGGTGCCACGCTCCAGGACCGAGCAGGAGCTGGTGGCTGCCAGGGCGATGGAGGGGACACCGGAGCTGATGGACACGTTCACCCATGGGGACGGAGAGCCCACCCATCTCCCTAAGTGTCCTCTGCAGCTGTCACAGCCAGGACAAGGTTGGCCGGGCCAGGCAGTGTCCCAGTTCAAGTCACCCGTCACAGTGGATCTGCCAGGCTAGGGAACCATGAGTGGGCACATACCAGCACACATTGCTGTGACTGTGCAACACACATGAATGCTTGTGCAGAGGTGCACACGCCTGCAGCCAGGGCTGGTCAACCCCTTCCAGCCTCAGAGACCCCCGGCTGCAGGACAGGCCCTGCCATGGCAGCCCCCAGCTGGCCTCCTGCCTCAG